TTTTTTTTTTAAGGACCCTACATAACTTCACCAGACACAGACACAGACACTAATCGTTACTTGATTTTAATCCGTGCGATTAGTTAACCAGGCTAGACCTGAGTTCTCACAAGAAACACCGACCATAATAATAATAATAATAATAAATAATAATAATAAAATGATCAACGTAACCCCTATTCGTGCTTTCTACATGGCGCAGGCAGCTTTTCCCCACCTAGAAATTGCATGGTTGCCAACTCTCAAAAATGTATGTATCGTCGTAAGTTGTATATACAGGGTGGAACTTCTCAGCCGTTATTTAATTATTCAAATTTCAAAATTTGGGCGTATAGTTATCCCCTCTCTTTTTGAATTTTCAAAATATGTTTATTGCAATCGTTTAGTTGGTCGTTTGTTGGTGTTTGTTAGTTACATTTTTACATGTTTTTTTTTAAATTCTATTATCATTTGATTGTCTTGTGTTGTGTATATTTAATTTGTGTACTTATTTCCATGCTTTCTGGTTAAATAGAATAGCCTTGAGCTAGATTTCGCCAGAGAACATGTTCAATAAAGACGATTTATTATTATTATTATTCGTATAATTAATAATAATCCCAAATTTTTAAATTTGAATAATTAAATAACGGTCAACCAACAAACGTCAAAATGTAACTAACAAACACCAACAAACTATTGCAATAAAAATATCCTGAAAATTCCAAAAGTGGGGGGCTAACTTGATACCAGTGAAAATTCCGGAGATTTACATAGGTATAGTTGAAGTTTGTTAACTTGCCATTTAATTTTTGTTGGTTCTATGATCGGGTAGTTTCTAGTTTTCCCATACCGGAGTAAAATGAGAGCAACAAAAAATATGCTCCTTTTCGAATGAAAAATAAAAACATAAGTACTACTACTCCTTAGCGCAAAACTAGTATGTGGAAAACGTGTGAAAAAGTATACAATGAAACTAGCCCAAAATAGGTAGGTCAGTACTAAGTAGGGTAGGTACTTGTTCATTCATAATCTGGAAACGAAACTTCTGATGGAAACATATTAATTAAAGCAGGTAGGTAATTTAAAAAAGGACCCTGATATTAAGACTTTGGAATTTCACCTCATCTTATACCGACCTAAAATTTACGTTCCTAGCAAAGGGCAAAAAACCAATTTATTTTGCACAATTTATCATATTTCCCTTTACCTCAAACGAAATGTATGCAAATGGGACGAAAATAAAAATTAAGCAAACATAAACATTTAATGCGACGACTCTAATTATATAAATTATAATTATGAGCACGTCGCCTGTTGGTTATTTTGTGTAGGGAGTTGCACGCATGTACATTTCCAGTGTTGACGTTGTGCGAAAATGGCCGGCGTCGGCTAGCCGACGCCAGGCGCCGCAATTAGGTGCCGTTCACGTTTAGAGTGTTTTATTACAATTTTTTAAATGTAAAGTTACAATTCGACCATATCAATTGTGATAAAGAGAAATATTAGCTTATGACGTAATTAATAAATTGTATAATTATGAGAAAACAACAACCATCGCAACTGCAAATCGATCATAGTGATGATGACTGTGCGTCCGCGGTAAGATTAATTATGTAAATTCGTCCATTTTAAATAACCATTTTCCGCTGACAAGATTATTTTGATAAAAAAACAGAAATAACCTTGATTATTGCACGTTAAGTGTACAGCTACGTACGAGTAAAATTGAAGCATGTTTTCCATATTTAAAAATAAAATAACGACTGTAAGGCGAATACTATTAAAACACTTGATAAGAAAATGGATTACCTACACTACACCTAACACAAATGCTTCCAATTTTCAAATTAGGAAAAGAATTCTTATTGTCTGCCGCTCACGTATTATTTGTGCCATATAGGTTTCAGTCTATAAATAAATGGATGCATTTGTATTCAATTCCTCTTCATTTGCGATGTCTATAATTTATTTTCGAGTTCCAGCACCTAATGAAAATGCGAACGAGTTTCCACAGCGAAAAACTGTTGTCAGCGTTTCCATTTTCAATTAATTGTTTCTTGTTTCAGTCTCAAATTTTGGAAAGAGTGCAATCTGATAGAGTCGCCGTAACGAAACCGGAAGAAGATCGCAGAAGACGAACGATTATCGTCGAGAAGAAAAACGGTTCTTACGGTTTTACGTTGCAAAGTTATGGCATTCACTTTAAAAAGGAGCAGGAGATCGAAATGATTACTTACGTTGACTATGTAGACTACGATGGACCGGCGTACAGGGCCGGAATGCGTGAGGGTGACGTGATTTTGTCTATAAATGGTACCGATATGGAAAAGGCGGACCATAAAACCTTAGTTAACTTTATTAAAAACTGTGATTCAAGAATGAGAATGGTTGTCCTATTCGAAGACTGCGTTAGAAAGGTATAACTATTTTCATTGACTTGATAAAGATGAATCGCTGAATTTTTCAGGTGGAGTTACACATGAGATATATCCAATTGCAACGAATTTTACAGAGTAAAGTAAATGAGTTAGAGAAACTATGTATTCGTGAACGGCAAATTTTGGAGGGCAAGTGGAAAACGCACAGCCTACCGGCAAGGAAGAAGGCGTCGCACCCGCCCAGCGATCCGGTCGATCCTGGAACTCCGACGCAATCGACCTACGCCTACTGCCGGCCAACAGTATCAACAGAAGATGTTGCAAAAATGCAACAGAAACAACACCCTCCGACCGTAATGCTAGCTTACCAGTATCTAGATCGGCGTTATAGTTATGTGCTGCAACCCTCGACGACCAGTAGCGGCGAGTACCTGTTAACATTTGAGCCCCCGCGATATCAAGATCATTTCATTGTGAAAACTCCGTGCGATAACCCCCAGCAACAAAGTAAGGGTAATCAGACGAATAATGGAAGCGGTAAGTGTAGGAAGAGTGCCGAAACGTGCCACGGATACGCCGGTCATTTATGCAACCCGTGCCTGCAAGCGAACAACAACGGCGATAACACGAGCTTAGAGGCCTACGACTTAGCTAGTCCATGTTGTAATCCAAACTGTGTACCAAACACCAGAAGGCGCTCGAGAAATCAAAAGGACGGCCGCAAAGCAGAATCAAAGACTGGGGAAACACAGACTGAACCACAACTAAAACCTCGCCCACATTCCCAGTCATCCCAAACGCACATTACCAATCCTCCTCAACCGCAAACGAGGCGATATTTGCAATTCGGAACTGGAATTGTCAGCCAGTGCAGCCTGCATTCGTGCACATCAAGCGAAATCAGCGCAGTCGCCCCGACCACTACCGGCGAAAGCACCGCCAGCTACACAACATCGCTCAGCACCGACACCCTCTACTGGGACGGATCGGGGGACGTCAGTTCAAGACACCAAACCATCAAACCGATATACCAACACAGATACCCGCCGGTAAACCCAGAAGGCGACACGATCTACATACAGTACAACTCCTCCAAACCGAAATCGTGGGACAATCTGGCAACAAAGGCAATCGGCGGGTACGGATTCGGTTACGGGTATTTGGATACAACGAAGTGCGGTTCTGGTAAAACCCAGAATCGGTCGTATAGCAGTAGCAAATCGCCTCAAATGAACAATTCGCAGTACTTTAGAATATGTAGGGACGTGCACGCGGGCCCCTCCACTTACAACGCGTGCAACGTTCAGAAGAGGTTCATCCAGCCTACCAAATCCACCGAAAGTTTACTATCTGTGCCGAAATATTCCGGCGAAGTTCTGTCCGACTCGTGCGAGTGTCTAGATCCCGTTTCGCCTGGGCCCGATACCGTCGAGGGGCGATTCTTTCAAAGTCCCAGGCAAAGTGTGATTAGTCCTACCGATCCCAATGTGGGATATTACAGTGCCAGGCGAACTTCTCGAGGTGATAGCTCTCAAAGGAATATGTCAGTTCCGAGTTCCGAAGCAACTAGACTGTGAGTTTCCGTTTCATTTGAGGCCTTATATTAAATGAAATTTTGTTTTGGTGGTTTTATAAGAGCTTCTTTGAACTAGCATTTTACGCAACAAGCTTTAAGGCCGAATCTACGTGATAAAATCATACTTCTAGATCTAATTGTAAAATTGTTATGTATTGAAAAACATTAACTTTGATTATTGATGAATAGCTCATACATTAAGTTTCTACAACTAAGTACCTAAGCATTGTAGTAGCCAAGGTATCCGGCTAGAAGCACCATAAGAAGAAGAATGAATTTGTGTAATTATAATACATACCCATACCTTTTATTAATCAGGCTGTGTTTGTAAAATTAGGTGCCACGTATTATTACCTACCATATATAGCAGCGCACATTTAGTTTAATGAGAGAAGTTGTTCGTTTAACCCACAATCGCATTTTTGTAAGTGTAGTATTTAGTTGGTTTAAGTGTTTTATTGCAATTTTAATGTTCAATGATTTTTTAGACAATAATACGCGTCGAAATAGAATAGTTATATCGCTTTTATATCATTTTTAAAGTTTCCCTCGGGAAATAAACGTTTAGTGGGTAGGTATTTGTTTTTATAAATTCGAAGAAAATGGGGAAAGTAATCAATATCCGTATGAAGGAATAACGACTTGAAATTGGCTTTTACGCTTTTAGGAAATAGTTGCAGTGGCGCTTTTGAGTTTAGCGGGATCTCCAAAGAGAAGGTGCCCAGGCGCGCGCGAGAGCCCGCTTCGAAATGGTTACGATCCCGATCGTTAGCCTCCCCCCCCCTTCATCAGCCAAGCACCCGCCGTTGGTCCCATTTCCTCTCGAAAGTACACAGTGCAAAAAAAAAATTGATTGCATACCCAGGTGTGCGCGAGAGCCCGACACCGCGGTACTATTTAGCACGGGGATGATGCCGCGCGGCATGTAGACTTTGAGCGATGATTGCGGTTAAGAATAGAGGTCTTTTTTTTCAATATATTGTGGGTTCACGCCCAAAGTAGGTACTACCATAGTGTAAGTACACTATGGTACTACCTATGCTGATTTTTCGGAATCAATATGTTTGCGGGGGTGGGGATGGAGGGTGAAAGGTTCACTCGAAGGTTAGTCTTTCGCTCCTCACTAGGTCATTTAAGGTCCGGTCGGGTCGCTGTTTTCTCTGACCTGTGAAGAAAAAAGACGGTGGTTTTATGGAATGTCGAGATCGAGTGCTGTTGGACCTCGCGAGGGAGTGATTTTGACACCCATCGCTTGGTGCCATTCAAAAGCATATAGACGAGGATTTTTAACAGCGATTACTCGGTGGACATGGAGTTACGGCACTTGCTCAAAAACGAAATCTTTGCCTTTTTTTGCCATTTCTACCATATCTAATGCGACCTAACACAAAATGCGCTTTTTGTTTCGTTAAATTGGCCCTCAGTGGCACTACCTAGAATCGAAAAATTGAGCCCTCAGAACTCACAGTTTTTACGATTAAATAAAAAAAAAGTGGCTGCTGTTTTATATACACTGTGTCCAAGATAAAAATGAACAGCGTGGGAAATCTGTACCATAAGACATACACAGCCGGTTAAATTAGAAAAAAGTTGTGTATTTTAGGGTTTAGTAAAATGATATTTTAGAAATTCGGAAATTCCGATCAGTTCCGAAGTTATTTTTCTCTGACCTTGTTTGAAAAGATATCAAACAACAAATATACTTTTTAAATTTGACAAGATTTGTGCCCACAGTTTTTCATTGCGACGTTTCTTTCGTCTTTGAGAAACCAGCTTCAACTTCATATTTCTATACAGACCGGAAAAAAGTACATACTGTATTGAGTAGCATTTTTAGCGCATTTTTTAAGAATTAAAAAAAATGTGTGTGTTAAAAATTAATTTTATCTCTCATTGCATTCTAATTAAAGGTCCCAACGAAAGGAACAGTTTTATACAAACTACTGGCCTTCTTTTTGTCCTCTTATCAAAGTACAGGGTGGCGGGGGAAGGGGGGGGGGTGGAACTAGTTTTATCCTTCATGGTACTCTAATGAAAGGTCTCAACGAAAGGAATTAATTTATACCAACCATAGTCTTCCTCCTCGATCCCTAGTCGTGATCGGTTATAATTCCTTATATCTTAAGAGTGAATTGTCAATGGAGAGTACCTAAAAAGGGCGATTGGGACGTTTGGAAGAAATATAACCATTGGGCATTTACATAAAATTTGATACATAGCCACTTGGAATAAAAGCAAATGTAGCGCCATTTTCCAAATTTGGTTTTGTGTAGGATGTGCAGTGTCAACTTTCATATTTATGGAAGAAATTTCGTAGGGGTGTTTAAAAAAATGCGCTTTACCTTCACAAGGGTTGTGCACAATTTGTACTTGTGTATTATGAATACGGTGACGCTTCAGCGAACGTTATTAATTTATAGCGTAATTACATAAATAGCAGTGATAGAAAATTATTGACCGAATGTGTCAAAGAATGACGTACCCTATATACACGTAAGACGAAGATTCTTTAACTTAATCATTTTCCGTAGTTTGACGGTTCACAATTAAAGCCTTTGGACCATAGTATGCGTTAGACTACGATTTCTTAAATTATCCTTATTGTTGGTTGCATAATTGCACTGATCACACATTTAAAATTCTTGAAAGTAACGTGATAAAATGTGACGTTTCAAAGTATCCTTGATAGGTGTAATTTTTGCAAGTGATTTTTACTTTTACCCAAAATCGTCATGAAACCTTCATTTTCATGCCTACTTTATGTCAGGGAAATGTTAGTCTCCATGACGGAGGCAGACCAGTCCACTTTTCCTGCCGCCTGTCACTTTACCGGCCGCACTTGTCACTTTTCCTGTCGCACCTGTCACATTGCTAAATGTCTATTGACTCCTGTCATCAATGACAGATTGGCATTAAGCAAAAGTTCTATATGAAAATTGAAATTTTATGTTAAAATAAGATTTCGGGTAAAATTTAATACAAAACTCGTCAGTAAGATGACATTACTTGACTCGGAAATTAAAGTACTCGACCCCAAAGCGGCCTTGTACTTCAATATTTCCTCGCCAGTAACGTGTCATTTTCCTGACTTTTATGTAGTAAATAACTATTACAGCCATGAAAACGGCAATATTGATTACTTTTTTGCGCGATCGGTCATTTCTGACTATTTACCATGGGTGTTTCCATGACAGTACGTAGAATTTACCAGTTGCTATGATTACGACGACGCCAAAATTACTTACCCATCTAAAAATAGAACAGCAAAAATACTTACCGACGCCTTTTTAAAAATCAACAGTCTTACATTACATTTAATCTTTAATTATTGTTAGGTACATTAATCGTACAATTTGTGCTGTTGTTTCCTATAGCAAGACGCTCATAAAGTCATAAAGGATGTGCAAAGCTAGTAAACTACATCAGACACATTGCACATTTTTATGGAATTATTAATTTCAATTTTGACATTTAAACTGGTTGCCTAGTGATGTACACCATACCACTTTGATCATTTCGATTTATTCTGCTCGTTCATTTCTTAGTGCATATTTATATTGGTTGGATAATTTTAATTTCGATCGCGCAAAAAATGTTATAAGCACGTCGAACGTTAAGGGTTACCGTTCTCAGACAATAATTGGAGTCGTCGCTTCGCTCCTCCTCCAAACAATTGTCTTCGAACGGTAAAAATCCCTTACCGTTCTCCATACTTAATATACTATTGGTCATTGTAAATAAATAAAATGGCTGTCTTATCCCACCACTATTAATTACAATGTTCTGCCACCAGGGGTCTCACTGTTAATCTGAATCCATAGATATATTAATAGGCGAATCGCGAATATTCTTCTTGTTTGTGTTTGTTATAACAACTAACAAAAGATTTTAATGGTATCTCAGTGAGTAGTTGATATTCATCAGACGGATTTAAAAACAATATAATCCGCAAAATAAATTACCGAACAAATTTCAAGTGCACTAAAGGACCAGCTAGACATCTGAGTAGTTGTAAAGTCGTAAAGGTATCAATGTCGATGTCGGAACCTATTATTTCCAAAAAATTTTCACTTAATTGATACTGTTGACTATTCAATTCATCTAACATTTGTCACATTTCAACCAGTGAAATGTCTCGATTTCAAATTGCTGCGCCAATGGGAACGAATTATAGTGATAATTGCACGTGTGGTATTTCAGCGACAATTCAACTCATGTATAAAAAATCACATAAGCCGCAGTGTAATTGTCACTTTGACAGCGGCAAAAGTTACCTGCAACTTTTCCAGCGACAAATGCACTAGTCGTTTTTTCACTTATTCATTTTCGAACCAATAATCGCATTATCCTTACCCATATGACTAGTTTGACGTCTGTCAATAATTGATTAGTTTGGTGAATTTCTTGTTCGTTAAATTGTCCTGCCGAATTACACTCGAGGTTTGCATTTAAACCGAATAAATTTGGGTTGTGGCAATTCAAATCTGTTTCCTTTTAGCAATTGAACTCGAAAAACTGTCAACCTAAAAATGCTCCACCTGCGGTGTCGCATTTTTATTAGTTGACAGTTTTTCTCGTCTAATTGCTAGGCAACGGATTTTCATTACCTAAACAACCCAAATTTACTCTGTAAAATACAAACCTCTTGTGCAATTATAAGTGATGNGTGATAATTTCACGTGTGGTATTTCAGCGATAATTTCACGTGTGGTATTTCAGCGACAATTCAATGCGATTATTCAATGACATTTGTCAAACTTCCACCAGTGAAATGACGCGAAATTTTGTCGTATTAACCGGAACATTCTTCTTAGTTTGTTAATCAATTTCGACAACCGACTTATCACCACATCTTTTAATTTAATCACTCATAACGAATTAGCTTGGAGCACAAAAGTTCGAATAGAATCAATAGCAAAATGAAAAGCAACTTCCATAATTTATTTTGACGTTTATTGTTGTCATGGAAATACATTCGCGTGGGTAATTATGCTTAATTTTTCTTTTGATTCATTGAATAGTCCTCCGAATACCATTCGTAGTCGAAGTATTTGTAGATTATTTTTGAGCTGCTGCTCCACTCATGCTAGTTACGCTTTTTAATACCACTCGCGCAAGCGCTCGTGGTATTAATCAGCGTAACTAGCATTCGTGACAGCACCTCAAAAATATTCGACAATACTTCGACTACTTATGGTATTATATATGACAATTTTCCCCAAATTTTTTTGCCAGGGGGTCGTAGCCGCCTCGCGTAATCGTGTTCTTTTTACGGAAAACATTTATCCGCAGGATTTTGGCTCAACCGAAATGTTGACAAGTTTTAAAACATTCCACCATTCTAATGTTGAATCTATCGTTGTTATTAGCTCTTGAAAATAATAAATATTTATAATACTTTTAAACAAGAACTATAATCTTCCAAGTTTGGGTCACTTTCAAAAGCATCCTGCAATATATCTCCCACAAAATTGTTTTTTAACTTAAACAATCTACATTGTTTTATGTTGTTGTTTCACAAAAAGGCCGGGGGGGATTAATTTTATATTTTAACAAAAGGAACTGTTTTCTACCACCAACCACCCTACTTTCTGACTCCTTATCAAAAGAGGAGATTTTTGGGCGGGGGTGGGGGGGGGAACTGGTTTTAACCTTCATGGTACTCTAATGAAAGGTCTCAACGAAAGGAATTAATTTCTACACCAACCATAGCCTCCTCCTCAACTCCTTCTCGGGATCGGATATAAATAAATTTTTATATCTCAAGAATAAATTGTCGGAGGATGGTACTCACAAAGACACAAACGGCGATTGGGACACCTGGGAGAAATAAATCTGTTGGTTGTGTCAAAACTTTACGAGCGAATATCTCGAAGACGCTTTGTCGGAGGAAAGTATCCACAAAGGCAAAATGAATTGTCTGCACGAGACATATCTATTAGTGAAGTTTCTCCATTAATCATCTAACAAGAAAGAAAACATCGATAAATATAGCATGCTACTACCTTTGCGCTTTTTCTGCACAAGAGTTGTGGACAAATATCACAGATGAAACCGAATTGCATATTTTTAAATAGTAAGTACTAATGTTGTTCTTCTAATAATAGATTTTATTATCTGCTCGACTTTTACGTAATTGAATTTGATGGAAAGAGATAAATTAGACTAATGAGATTATTTAAAGTAAGGGTTATCATGGAATTCAATGAGAGCATGGAATGTTAATAGTTTGGAAAGTTGAAAAGTACAGGATCCGGAATTCGTTTCAAATTCAACGCATTCACCTGTTGAGTCGAACGCCAGATGGCCAGACTCAAAAGCGCCTAGTGGCGGACTCGAATGTCTTTATACGAATTTTACAGTTACTAACGTCAAATTTAAACGCTTTTAGAGACATGCTAGTGAAGAAAGTATTGAACTGAAAAGTCGAAATAAGTTGATAGGTACAAATAACAAACTTTGCTAAAAGTATCAAGTACACATGATGTAATAATTAAATTTGTATTTATAGGTATTGAATTCTGAACAGAAAATTTTGCAGCAGATGAGATGCACAGAATCCACTTACAATTTCACACCCTTTCAGACTTTCACCCCCAACGATTTCATTCTGTCTCAGTACTGACATATATGTATCAAATGATACATGGCTGATGCGACTTTTGTTTCACTGATTATCTCATCCGATTTCGTATCAATTATTACCTACCTAATGAGCGTGTTATCTACAGATTACAGCTCCTATTCGATTATAAAGGAACTAGCATGTCATTAGACTTAGGGGCAGTCTCTCATGTTACCTTTAAACCTATCTACTGATAAGTTCCTTGGAAACAAATGCATGCTATCTTTCATCCCTTAACGTGATTATATTATTGTTTTATACACTTAAAATTGTTGCTATATGTTATTGGATGTACACAATTTCTGTTTCTTTCCCTCTGAATGGGGTGTTTCATCATCGAATGACGTTGCATTTTCTACGGAAGTCGCTGCTTCGAGGCAAGATAAAGATGTAAGTGAATAAAAAACAACACGTCGCAATTAAAGGTGGTACAAGGTAGGTGATGGACTACGACTAATAGCCCGAAAACAAATGAGCGCACTATCTAGGGAAAATGTGGATATAAAGGCGTAGGTATAGCGCGCAAAATATTGGCGGGCACTTTATTAATCACGTAAATTCGAAAACACCTCCAGTAAAAAACGAAAAAATTCAAAATAAATTAAAAAAAGAAGTTGCGTTTCCGTGTTTTTTTTTGTTTCATGACGTGAGCAACTTTTAAATAATCGAGGGTAATTCTATGAACAAAATTTGTTCACAACATCTATTAGTATCTTTATTTGGTGTGATGGGAAAACAAAATTATCCTAAATGGGGAAGCCGCGAAAGATGCGTGTAGGAAAAATTATTAGAAATTCTACAGGACGGGACCCGCTTTTCTCGGCGTAACAGCAGAGCAGCGTACAAACGAGCGTCGCTGGTAGTGGTTGGTGTACTCGTGTTGGTGTTTATCATTGTTCCCTACTAGTTTTTATACACGGGGATTATTAAAAATTTGACAATTACGGATGGTAGTGCAATGTCAAAGAGAAATATCACATTCACGAAACCGGAAGAACCTAATTTTTTAAAGAGGATTAAAGAACAAGTGGGATATAAGGAGGGCCCCACGGTTAATACGAAAGTAGGTTAGGTTATGTTGGAATCCTATCAATTTTAATGGTTTATTTTTAATTTTATTTAAGAGGGAGGCTTTAGATCGAGCTACTGAGGAGGATTTTGAAGATACCTCCGAAGAGCAGCCTACGGTGGTGGTTCTTAGACCTGGTGATCTTTCCGCTGAAGAAGCTACACAAGCCGCAGAGGAATTGAAAAAGCGTAAGCCTAAAACGTTTTTATCAATTTATGGCACTGCACAACTTACGTAAGGTGGCAATAAGTCATAATTTGCGAAAGGATTCTCAACGTGGTAATTAATACACTCGCAACAATTTTCTGACATTGTATGAATGGATTTCGTCGCGATTGTTCGGTTACTTTCGGATGCCATGCGGATTGTATGGCGGGAACAAATCAAAAGTTTACGCTTTCAATTATTGCTCTATTTTGTAACGTTAAGTGCGCTTGATTTAAATCTACCAAGGAAACTCGAGAGCCGTTTGGTAATATAATGATGGAAATTTTCGTCGAAACCCAACCATCTAGTTTTTCCTTCACGTCATATGTGCAAGGAATAAGGAGAATTCAGTGAACGTAGATGTTGCGATCACGTGACGTATTTTACTCCATAATAACTGTAGTTGAACGCGTACTCCCCTTTTTCTTGAAAATGGTTGGGTCTATCGATGTGAAACGGCATTTCGCCTGAAATATCACATGACAACTTGGACGCGCGCTTTTAGTTTACAACATTTTCCTTTTTCTTCTCAGCGCAAAATGCGTTTCTCACATAATTTCTATCCTTATAGAGGCCGAGGAGACTCCCGCCGATTTGAATATTCCCGTCGTTTTTAAACGGCCTTCGAAAGCGAAAACCGCTCAGAGTCAGAAGTCGTCAAAAAGAAGTTCATCGGGCGAGGATCTCGACGAAAAGACCAAGAAGCGTAAAGGCAAAACGCTGCTTTCCTTCGACGACGAAGAACACGACGATTAGGGTAAGACAGTAATTATCCAATCGAAAGAAAAACGTCGAAAATTGATTCGAATGGCGCAAACAGGTTGTTTAAAAATCGGCACTAAACGCTATGGTCGCATTCAGTTTTTTAGTAACATTGCGTTTAACAAAATGAAAATTAGTTGGATATACATAACAATTATCTCATTAATTTATTATGGATTTGTTCAGTTCACTATTATCACGGAACACCATCAGGAGCGATGAATAAAATGCGAATATGCAAAGAAAGGAGCAAACACTAGTTTTCCATTTGCCATTTTCAAAAATCACGAGTATCGGAAATCGAAATCGGTGTTTCGCGTCGTGCGTACTGATACTGATAATAGATTATGAAAGTGGTAGTTAATTCATGAACTGATTTAAAGGGAGATTTTTTGTGAGCGACAATGCAACTCCTATAATTTTTCTCTCCAATTTTTCCTTCTTCTGTTCAATGATAGACATGACTATCTAGAAGTTTGGGGAAAGGCGAGGGGAAAGGCCAAACTGTGGTTTTCAGTATCTCGTGGTAAGAGTTCCCACTCACTGTTCAGAATGTTTGTAATTTGTTCCGTTATTGATTTCTTACGATTGTTTGGATTGTCCACTTTTGTCCGTATCTATTGTTACTTACTCATATTTGTATGTTCCATTGCCATTGTTACTTTGTTTTCTGTATTTTATATTTTTTCGTTTTGTCATTTAAAAAAAACAATAGCGAACTATACCTTTCATTATTTGTCTGAACTGAATATATACATTTTTGAGGTTTTCGTATATTTTGGGTTTTTGTGTTTTGTGTAAGGAATGGTCCTTACTGTTTACTTTTAGCGAGACTTTTAGTGTCAATTTTTTTATTTTTTCTATTTTAAGCGTCTTAAAAAAACAATAGCGAACTATACCTTTCATTATTTGTCTGAACTCAATATATACATTTTTGAGGTTTTCGTATATTTTGGGTTTTTGTGTTTTGTGTAAGGAATGGTCCTTACTGTTTACTTTTAGCGAGACTTTTAGTGTCAATTTTTTTATTTTTTCTATTTTAAGCGTCTGGGTCGAGGTTTGTACTTTTTTTTAATTTTTTTGTTGGTTTTTATTTTTGAGTGGGCGGGGTTTTAGCTAAAGTTGCTCTGCCAACCCAACTCACTATACATTTACAAATATCCATGCCTGAACCCGGATTCGAACCAGGGACCCTTAGTCCCGCAGTGGTACAGCTTCTACTTATGTCACAATATCATAAATGTAAAATTCAAGATTTTTTATACCCTCAAATCCATTTTCTACTAAGTACTTTCACCTTTAATTGTATCAGTTTTTCACAATAAATTTGCAGATTTCCAACAATTTATTTAAGACGAGCTTAAAAATGTATGCGTGTTCGAGGGGTGTCTCACTCTGGAAAAATCCCAATTTATTTATGATTTCCACAGAATTCGTGCTTCTAATAAATAATAAAGTAATATTGACGTTATGTGTTCTTTTTGGGCCAAACTTAAAATGGTAAAATTAAAATTTCGAAAATATTCGTTCGCTTAAGAGAATCAAAAAATTGTCAATTTCTGAAGGACCCTATATTTTCTTAGTTACTAGAGATACAGAAAAAGATTTATTGCGAAAGTATCTTTATAATGATTGTTGAATAATCTCCGTTTTCAAAATAAGTATACGGGGCCAGGTAAAGAAGTTAGCGGGCATCATTTTTAAATGGAACACCATATATTTTAATACAAAAATATATATCTATTCGTGTTTCAAAAAACTTGCAAAATATTGAACAAAATTTAAAAAAAGGATCAAACGTGAAAATACAAACAATTCCAGATTTTTTTATTAAAAAAATTTTTGTGGCACAATATTGAATTTTTGAATTTTTCAGTATTATATTTTTGAAAGGAGAATTTAATATGCTATCTTTTTAGCGTAAAATAGATAGGGTGTTCAATAAAAAAAAATGAGGTTAGGTCCAATAACTTTTTTTTACTGGGCCCCGTATATTTATTTTGAAAACTGCAAATTCGGTCTTTAAAAATACAACACCGGGGCAACAATAAAAAAAGATTCAATTCATTAACAAAAATATTGAACAAAATTAAAAAAACATTCAAATGAGAAAATACATCAAACTTCAGATTTTTGAATTTTAAAAATCTCGTTTGAACTTTTTTGAAACTATTACATTTTTGAATTTTTTCATTTTTAAATTTTTGGTAAGAGAATTTAATATGATAAATACCTTTTTTAGGTTAAATATACGGGGAGTTCTATTAAAAAAAAGAGATAAATCCAATAACTTTTTTTACATGACTCCGTATATTGATTACAGATTATTGAAAAATTCATTTCAAGAAACTTCTGTAACAAACATGTTTCTGTACTGTTAACTAAGACATTCGGAAATTTTGACTTTACCATTGTAAATCTGACTTAAAAAGAGTGCAGGACACTTATATTTCTATTTTGATAGAAGTTGCAAAAAAATGCAGTGCATCATATGCAAGTTTTGTAACTGAATCAAAAGATCAAACAAAATGCTGTTGCTCTAAAAGCAAAACATAACTTCCCTGAATTCAGAAGGAGCACCACTCACGCACATTACAATACTGTAAGTCTGTAACGTGCACGTAATTTATTTATTTAAGTACAAATAATTAACAATAAATTTATAACAGTCTTGAAATTGTTTAGTGTGTAACAGTAATTATTATTTATCACTCTCAATTATAACATAACACGAGCGGGAGCTTAGTACTTCACTTCGCAACGATGTTAGAATTTACTTAAGCACAATTCGATTTGCTTATATAGCCAACGCCTATATTTCTCAAAAGTTCTCGAACACTCCCGAATCTTCTAGAATGTTCTCGTCGTCATATTTTGCCAAAAAAAATGCATCACATCCACTTTCGTTTCTTATCGCCGATGTCTGTAATTTTTATGGCGCCTTAATGTCTATCGGGATTTCTAGAATATTCCCTACGATACGAATGCGTGGCCATGCGAGACCTTAATGAACACAAATGCAAACACAAACGTACGTGAGTACGACGCGCAAATAAGCAGGAATGGTGCATTTGTCGTTAAATTCTTTGACAATTTCCATTTCATAAAATTCGCTGACAATTGTAGGTTTCCTCGATTCTCCTACGTTGTCACCACCCCTTAATGTATTGGCCATTGGCGGGCATCGGCCATATTGGTCATGTGGCCGATATTAATATCCGTACCGTTCGATCTTTACTTCCCATAGTGAGACACCCATCGGGTGTGTTAGAATAGGGTCTCTCAGAGAGAAAGTTGAAGTGCTTGGCGTGTAGCTCCCAATGTCTGTTTTGGTCCCCTCTACCATCCTATTTTTTTAAATACTGTTCCACTGTTACACCCTGTATATTGTAAAAATGATGTGGTACTTACCGACAAGTTTGGGAAGTTAATTTCTTACTTTCTTTACAATTAGAGATTCTGGGTTTTAAATATACAGATACATGCCGCGCGCTATAGCACGGCGAATAACGGCGCAGACCGAATATGACATCGGCAACTGTCGGAAAAACTTGTCAATTGGGATTCCCACTTCAATGGCGTTCCGTTAAGCGTATTTTCCTCCTATCCCAAGATCAGGTACCCCTAAATGGGGGTGCGAAAAATTCTGATCTGAACGACATTTGGTTCATGGGAATTTTTCAACATGAAAATAACGAATCCAAAATTAGTTTTTAAAAATTCGAGAAAAAAAAGCAACTTATATACGTTTTATTAACGTTTTATTTTGGTTTTTGTGAATATTTTTACTCAATGAGAAATCGGCGACAAGTCCCTCCTATCTTTTATGGCTGCTACGAAGAATCGGGACTATTTGGATTTAATAATAATATATAATAAATATAATAAAATAAAAATTAAAAATAAATAAACATTTCTAGATAACCAAGTCGTTCCTAACATTTTTTGTTCGCCATCGTCTGCAATTAAAATATTTTAATGTATAAAAATAATATTTAATATAAATATGTATAACAAGTGATACCGACATCAAAATTTTACGCTCTTTTAAACACTCCAAAATATATAGGGTGGTCAGTGTGGAAAAATGTAGTAGGGGTTCTTTAAAAAACGAAACACTCTGTATAAAAACTGTACATCGCGATGTATGCTACATAGACAAGTGCTGAAAGAAAGATTTTGCCAAAACCAATTAATAAAAACAGTATGGATGGAAATCGACTCAATTCGAGAAACGCCCCCTAGCGGCCAAACGAAAGAGATAGTCGAATTCAATTTTGTTTTGTTTTTCGGCCGATTGCCATTTCGGTTACTAGAGTTTCGGTTAATAGCGTTTTTACTGTAGTACCAAGTACTGCAGTCGGAAGACTTACCTATAACGCAATACTCAGTAAATATTAATATTGTAATAGAGATTTGTAATGATTAATCCCATCCTGTAATTAACCATCATTACCTAATACAATACCTATGATTCCTATGAATATTTAAAGCTTAGTGCATAATTTGGGAATTTATTCTGGTGGTTCTGCGGGTTTCCATTAGAAAATACCACACGTTTGTGATTTGCACCAAAATTTTAACTCGAAAAATTTGCTTGCATATAATTACTTACACATTTTTTCTCGCATTTTTTCCATAATACGATAGATATCCAACTGCTGTTGAGAGAAACCTACTCCTTTTTTTCCTATTTAAAAGTCTTTGCACTACTTTCCGAGAGCTCCATGATTAACATTGGAAAAACTATGTATATGTATTAAAATCATATTTCCCATAATTAGTCTCCTATATTTTGTAGGCGATGTTGTGGAATTGTTTGGAATTCGAAATGGAAGTGCAATTTCCGTTTTGTAATTTGGATAATTACGTGTGTATCTTCCTAGAAGATTCTTTGCGCTTTGAGCTATACTAATGTTTTTAAACGTGCAGTTACCTAGTTTCCATTGAAACTGAAGTAGGAACCAAAATATTATTATTATACAAAATGGCGTGTTATCTACAATTCTTGTTCGATTTTGTCCTAATTTGCTTTTGAATGTGAAATTACCCTTCGAGTATAGTCCTCGGTATAGTCAATCATTTGTACAATCACCAAAAGTCTTCAGTAAACTGAATATTGTAAGTAATTATTATTTATATACGAGTAATTGAAAGTTTTTCAACTCATTCAAATCTTACGACTTTTTGAAGAAAAATCAGAATTGATATTTTTTGTTGGTCTAAAACTGCGCAGCAAGTATAGTTTGGTTTTTTCTCTACATCCTTTTCGCGAAAAATCGATAGAATGCAAAGATATTTTGCAACGGAACCTAGATAATAAGTGCTATTATGTAGGTGCTTATTGCGATCTTATACACTGTTGCGTCTCAGTGAAGCCTTCCAAATTCAAAGTTGTCATCGAGTTTGTTTTGCATCTAGTTTAAAATTCTTCGCGACCGGAACTCAAACTCTTATGGTGATTTATTTATATTTGAGCGCGTCTTTAAATTGAGGACTCTGTATATATTGAGGGAAAAAATCTAATTTTGTTCCGCAATATTTATTGTCTTTGTAAAACAGAAGAGGACGTACACATGAAATAGTGTTGGGGGAAACGTTGAGAAAAATACATGAGGTACAGAGTATACCATGAACAAAATGAGGTTTGGACTCAACCATTTCACGAAACGGGGGACGTCGGGTTCAGTTTTGATCATCAGGCGCGGTGTATTTCGTTTAAAGCGAAAAGCCGACGAGTTCCACTTCGTTACACGAGAATTGGATGCCTTTTCCCTTCACTTTTCACTTATCTTTTTTTATAGCCAACTTGGACCGTCTTCGCTTGATTTTTTCGGCCACACTTTCATCTTCGTAGAAAATTAGTCATTGATAATTGAATCATTAGGTAGCCGAATGGAAAAGCGCGCGCGTCAGATTTTCGCTTTAAGGGCCTTAATTTAAATACTACCCACTCGCCGCCTTGCGTAGGTGCATATTTAGCAACACCCCAATTTTTTATTTAACCAATTCGTTTTTGCAAAATTGCCGCTGTACAAATATTAACTTCTGGCGGGAATTTGCAAATTTACGAATTTGTGTTAACCGGCGATTCTACGTCTCGCGATTTCGGTTGTTTGACGCATTTTTGAGCGTGAAATCAATAATAATCATAATTGTTAATAAATTTAGTAGTTGCTTACGTAATGAAAAAATTTTTAAGACATCGTGGAATGGAGCGTATACGTCACTATTTTCGGTCACGTGATATACCGTTAGACGCCATATTGGCAATTTAGTGTAGCGTTAGGGGTTAGTGACAGACCTTCTCTGTACTTTCTTGTTTTTTTTCCGCTTCTTTTTTGGTATAATAAGTGACAGTTGATTGAAAGTTATTGTTGTAATTATTCGAAATTCAAACGGACGTGTGACAACAGTTTTAAATGTCGCGGGTCGCTGTTAACTTCGGGTATTTACGATCGTCACAGCCTTCTATTGGCGGTGTGCAGCTGTTCAATGTCGAATTGATATAAAATACCAATTTCGATGGCGGGAATATTATAAATAAACTAACCTACGGTAATTGATGATTGAATTTATAAGTTATGTTAGTAATAATGAGTCACACAATTTAACCCCCTTGGAACTACTGTTGTTGCTCCTTTCTTTACTGTAATTGTCAGAATGTTGGTAGCACTGACACTTTCAGTTCAACTAAAACATGCCCTTTTTTATATTAACAATAAACATTGAAAATTATTTTGTTGTAATTAAACAGCGAAAGTGTAGCGACATGCTCGTATGCGGATACGATAAACGAACTCACGTGGCCTTTTTTTGCAGGATTACTGTGGACCATTGGGCTATGGCCGCTGTTGCCGAAATGGGGGAAGTCGACGAAATCCATTCGAATGAAGAAAGTATACGAGGTTTGTTTTGATTTGTGAAAATAGCTATGATAATAATTACACGATTCAGAAGTATCAATGAGGAATCTGGCACCCACATTTGAGCTTTGACATCGTTAGACAGTTATCAAAATTATGTACTAAACTACGATGTTAGTGCATGAGACATATTTTAGGTTGCTATGGTTTGTTATAGTGCCAGTGTACTTTTGTGTGACGTTTTATTATTTTAGGGTCAGTGTTAAATATGCTTTGTCACGTGGTTGCGTTGATGTATTGACAAGGTACACTTCTTCATCACTTCCAACAATCAGATGTCTTCATTTTTATGTAGGTTGTTATGACCAAACTTCTTGGATCAACTTATTTCTTTGGAAAGATGGAATTATGCCAGTATTCCTTTCATTTTTAGGGAGTGCGTTATTTGTTTACTTCGCCACTTGATAAACAAGTGTTTATTTTCAATATTTCTCATTTGTTAATTTACTTACTTGCAGGGTGGTAAATATTTCGTTTTGATATTGAAACATTAAATTTGTTGCTATGGGGATTAGTGGCAAGGGCCATAATGATGTCACATTAGTTAAACAAGGAGAGCAGTAACATTTCACAGAGTAGTAGATTTTTCTGTTTAGCATATCCTTTCCTTTGTACAGCTTTCTCAAAACAAGCTACACTTTATCTTGCTATTAATGTAAGAACAACATTCTTTACATTTGCAGGCTGAACTCTTTTAAATATGATGAATAGTCATCAAAGTGCAAGCACATGCTCAAACCGCACGATATAGGGGAACTAAATTCCAGACCAGTAATTAGCTTCTTCAATCGGATAAAACTACTTTAAAACTAGTAAGAACATCACAAAACTTCTTAATAGGATTATGTGCTTGAAAGCTACACTGTCTTACCCTCACATACAAGTGCAAGTACATCAAGACTAGTATTTTACTTTAGCAAGTAGTATACCTGTGAGGATTTGTGTTTATCAAGAGACATTCATTCGTGACGTCTACCAATGTGCTAGTAAGTCAGGGTGGGGAGGCCAGGTGGGGTTCAGCCCCACATAGAACATGGTGTGTGAAAACTATGATTCTTTTACAAAATATGAAATATTTGCTGGAATGAACCTTGCATTCAAATTACAATTGGACTCTTAAAGGTAAACCAAATCAAACGAGGGAACAAAGATATAATATTATAGTGTACCACAAAAATTACAGGTCTCACAATAAATCGTGTACCTTATCAGTGCAACCTCCTAGGCAACCTCCTTAATCCGGATAATCATATGCGAGGGGTGTGTCTGAATTAATGAATTGTCCAGATTACTGAATAGTGGACTAGAAGTGCGTGAATGTACATTAACAACTCGATTAACAACTTGGACATGTCTTCTAATAATTTTTTTATTCAAAAACAGCATAAAATCTCATGAATGGAACATATAATAACTAAACATACGTAAAATAATAATAATATTTATTATGGATAGCCCCAAAAGATTACAATAGTTGTATACAAGAAAGTGTACGTATATACATTAAAGAGGTAATATATATAATATATAATAAATCAAAATAATATCAATGAATGCTAAACATGAAAACAACTAAAAAGAATACTTGAACCTAACTTAACTGTAGTATTTCGTATAGAAGTCACTATCTCAGGGGTCGGCAACCTGCGGCTCGCGAACTGCATGCGGCTCTTTTGATATAAAGTTGCAGCTCTCCGTATTTATCTAAAGAAATTAGCTCATTTGTTCGAAATTCGCCTTTTTAATTAATTGTATTTGTTTACGAAATCAAAAGTACACTTGCAGCAAATAATTGTCTAATTTGTGACACTTGTTTACTTTCTGGTATTCTTTTGTTTCTTTATTATAGCAGCCTACTCTGATGTATAACCACGTAATTAATTAATGATTAGGTACTTTTGTGAAAAATATTGAATAACATAAAAACTGCGGGGTTTAAGCACAGGGCACCCCTTATAAACATTGGAAGAGAACACAAAAGACAATCGAATAGCGAAATAAAATAGTGGTAGTTCCATTTGAAAAAGAATAGTTATAGCACTTTGAACAAATGGCATTGAAACAAGTAAAAATATGCAGGATGCTCTATTTAAGATCAGTTATTTATTGACATGGTAAGAATGAGACACCCTGTACATTCAAAAATAATTTCTGTAGATCGGCAACCACCAATATTTTTTACCAGGTATCAGCTATGTAGGAAAAACCGACGCATTGTTGCAGGACCTTGTATATAGCCAAATACTATAATATTGAATCAAAAAGTTTTTGTGGCTCTTTAAAAACTGGGAAATTTTTGTAAATTGTAATTTTTGGCTCTTCCGTTTCAACAGGTTGCCGACACCTGCACTATCTACTCTTAATAATAAAGCCGGCCCGTGGGGCACAGTTCAGTTATAGCTGGACTGTGGTGCTAAGGGTCCCTGGTTCGGTTTACCAAAGAATATCCATGGCCATCTTTTTTGTTTCAGTTTTCAAAAAACTCTGATTTTTGAAATGGAATGCCAATTTTTTAAATTTTGGATATTAATTCTAGACAACTTTCTTTCGATTAACATGGCATTGTCCTATACCTTTTGAATTGTTTCTGTTTATACCGCCAATGTGTATGAACATTTGTGCCCGTTTTCTGTCACTGTCACTCATTGGGAAACTGATCATTAATATAAATTCAAATAGGCTGCTCTATGCATCCGCGAGAGTGGGACAGAGATTCCCCTTGTGGCCCTCTCTCTCTCTCTCGGATCGCACTGACCGACGCAGCGCGCGTTCTAGTATATTTATAGTTCAGTGCCAGTAGCAGTGACTATTGGCGACCGCGCCCTTAAAAAAATATGGCCCAATCACTACTCACATAAAATTGATTTTATCATTTTGAATTGTACCCAAAAAATTCACATTCGTTTAGCGATTGTTTCAGTGGATGAAATCCGCCTCTAACGTACACATATCTTGAATTCAGATATTTTTAGCTACAATTTTAAAAGCTTCCATTTCATCGCATTGAAACTAACTTACGTCTATGCGATATAATTGTAGGATGGAATAATCTTTGTGTTGCATAGACATTATAATATGTCTTGTTTGCTTGTTTTCAGCCCATTATTCAGCCTAAGTGAAATCCGGGAGGAGAGGGGATGCTTTCCAGACGTCATGGTAGTCTGACGAAAGGTTTTAATTAAAGGAAGAGACCGTGGCAACCGCGCTCGCCTTTCGCAATAGGTTTTTTTGTTATCACCAGACGTACGTTCATTCACGTTCGCTGTGAAGCGGTACACGTGGAATTTTTTTTAACTTTTTAGACAACAAATAGCCATATCTTAATTTAGTGTAGGTATCCTTGAATACTATAACATACATCTTTCCAGCGTATAACTGTGGAAAAGGACCACACTGGCCTCACTGGATGTCCGAACTGTCTCTTCCCATAAATGTATAGCTCGCATGGCTGCCTCTCTATTCTCTCCACTTTTATATTGATCTATTATTGCTGCTACATGCCTCTTATTTTGGTGTCACCATCTCTCGTGGTACAGCTGTAACTCGTCATCAGCTCCATTTGCGTCTGCACTTTTTAGGTCAATCCGTTTTAGTTGCTAGAGGTTTAATATGTTTAAATGTTTAAAAGTTCCATCTTGCTTGTGTCTTCTCTTTACACCTCTTAACTTTGCTTCTAAGTGTTACACAGGGCAAGCTATGGCGTGTTCTTCCTCACCTCCAAACACTCCTGGTTCCTAATCTTCTTTTATTTTGGTAATTTCAACAACTGTCGTTACTTCTGCCACTTCCTCACTAGAAACGATACGGGCCCATAACCTGTTCTGATTATTCTTGAAAAATTGACGTTGATTGATTAACAAAATAGATAAATAGGAATTTTTGATCACGTTTAATGCCGTCTAAGGAACAGTTCAAACATGCGGTATCAATAATCAATCACAATAAATGCTTTTAGTTCAGGAAATATATAATTTTAGGATGCAAAATTCATGGTAGTTCTGGAAATATGTAGGCATGTTTTCTGTGTCTATGAATCCGAATTTTCAACTTCCCACCAAAAATTCCCCCCACAACCCCCCCAAATTTGGAAAAAAATAAAAAGTATCTTTTTTTTTAAAATACTGTTATTTTGTGTATTTCAGAGAAAAATGTATCTGGAAATTTTCGACAAAAAGATCATATGATATTTTGATGTAGGGCGAAACAACAGATCTACTCACCCTTTGGTCTTGAAGAAAACACGAGACTTTGAAACAAATTAAATATTTTTCGCGCATGAGCCTAATTTTCAGCAGTGACATAGATAAACCTGGGCCATCAGCTGCAGTTAAACCGTAAAGAGTAATTTAAACTTTTTTTAAAATAATTTAATTTATTCTTAGTAATAAAAGTATATTGTTTAAATATATGTGGGAACTTGACTGAAAATAGGTGGGGAAAAGTTGGAGGTTGAGGGTTGACTTCCAGATGCTGAAAAATAAGAGAGATTCAAGGAGGCAGGGGGTTAAAACGAAAGGTAAAGCGGGTGGAGGGAGAGCGAACACGAACGCCGTGGATTGTTAAGCGAAGTGCGCCTGAATCGCCAATGAGCATACTTCAACGCACGCCAGCGCCCCCTAGGTGCGTAGTACGTAAACATGCTTTAGGACGTTTTCGGTTGCATTACATTTAAAATTTGTAGGTATTTTATTATAATATTATTATTATATTATTTTATTTTTGCAAGCTAAGGTCCTCATATGTTCTTTATTGCGTGGACTATTTTAGCATGTTGCATTAGAGCATTTGAATAGTTCAACATCTGTGAGTATAAACCATTGAGTGGTATAAACAATTATGTCACTCGTAACCATAGCAACACGAAATAAAACCAAAAATGTCAATTTTGATAACACTGTGGCACAACCTAAAATGTAAATACTAATTCGTCAGGCTCAAATGTGCTGTTTGAAATAGAAAATTGTTTCAGATGGTGCCAGTGTGAACGGAGACGTGTGCGAGTTTAATAAAGAGGCAGATGAGGACCCGGATGAAATCATCGAATCAACAAATGTTAGCGAAGATGAAATGGTAGAACACGAAGAAAACAATTCCGACAATGACGACGACGATGCTCAATTTAGGGAAATACATAGCGTCGAAGAGCAGGAAGTGGATGATGATGATGACGAGGATAAAATGGAGGTGGAAGAAATAGGATCGGTCGAGCAAATACACGAAATAAACAACAGCGACGATGAGGATAAACACGAGGAGATAAGAAACGGTCTTGATGACGGCACAGGTGATAGTGATAAAATGGACGACGCTAACTCCATTATTATTCACGATTCGGGCGAGGCCGATTGCGATGACGTCGTAATATTGGACGATACGGATCCCATAGAAAATGGCACTATAGATATGACGGAAGATGACGTTGAAATTACGGAACCTATAGAAGATCTCGAGCCGCAAAATGATACCGACACTCAGGCAAATAAAAAGAAGCTTGTTTCGGAGCAGGTCGCTTTCCGAAGAAGTATTCGTAACTTTGGAAAAGAAAGGAGGTCATATGCCAAAAAGGAGAAGCCAAAGCCACCCCCGATTCCGGAACCTCAGCCATGTGATTCGTCCGATATGTCCGATATTGAAGAGATACTACCCGAAGATCCTTTAGCTGTGATTGAAGCCACCCCTTCACCTCAAACGAAAGCTCCAAAGAAAAAATCGCGACTGTCTAGTTCAACCATAGTTGTCAAGGACACCAAACGCCTTGCTGAAATTGCCTCTAAATCTACCGCTAATAATAATAATAAAAAAGAACCAACGCTAGTAATAATTGACACAAATTCCATTTTATCAGGTCGTGGTCCCATTCCCATTACTCAGAAAGCTTCCATGTCGAATTCGCAAATGACCAACTCCTTTCCAATGCTGCCGATGGCGCTTCCCGCTCAAGGTATTTACCCGGCGAATATGCGCGCCACAATCACACCTATTCCAATGACTCCTACTTCAATTTCAGCAGTACCAGCCACCCGACCTCCGACCACCGCACCCACGCTTCCTCCGGCCCCACCCGTTCTCCCCACCTTAACCGATGATATGTTTGTGGTAGAGGCACCTTCCTTTATTGTTCCTTATGTATACGAGAAACCTCCACTAAAAGACCTTAAAACTTGCATTAAGACTCTCGAGAATGAAATCAAAGAAAGCGAAGAGAGCGACAAGGCGAAAGAGTCCGAAAGCAAGAAGGAAGATGCACCCGAAAGCGATAAGAAAGACGACGACGCAGATAAGGATGAATCGAATAAGGAAGGTTCGGATGTTGAACTAGTAAATGAGAAACAAGAGGGCAAAGATTTCGAGTTAGATTTACCTGTGATGCCTATACCCAACACCGCAAATGCGCTCGCGGCCGAGTTACGTAAGCCCGCCACATATTTCGATAGCGCCCTAGGAAAATTTTTTATGGGTATCGGTTACGGCCTGGTTCAGGAGTCCGTTCAAACTGACCTTTTGAAACAGCAGAAGCGTAAGCGCGATCGGGAAAATTGGGAGAACGCGGAGACTATTAAAACTATCAATTCGTTAATAAAGAATTTGGAGTATACGAAAGAAAATAATGTTCCGTATCGCATGCCGACCAAGAAATGTGAATATTGTAGTTTTAAGACCGAGTCCTCTCTAGCGATGTCGTTTCATCTGGAAACTCCCCACATGAAAAACTACGTGTATCGTTGTAACTTTTGTACTTATGAAGTTCGTAGTCCGCACGATATTTTATTCCATATGGAAGTTAAGCACGGCGTGAGAGGTCGCTTGGAGAGAGCGCCCGCTTTCCATCAGTGCCCCAATTGTCCATTCGAGGATAATCAAAAGGGAAAGCTGTCGAGGCACTCGGTGGCGTGCATGCGCAAATTTAAGCCCGAACGAAATTTGGAACCGCCCGCCGATTTTGAACCTCCCGCGAAAATACCTCGAATGCCGCGTATGAAGCAGCAAGGAATGGGAAGCGCGGCCGCCGTTTACCAGGCAATGGCACGTTCAACTCAGTTACAAATGATGTCTAAGCTAGCTAATAATTCAACTGCTTTGCAGCGTGGGAGAGGTAGGCCGTCGATGGGGCTTCCGATTACAAAGCACATTCCTCCCAGCATACGACCCGCCAATGCTAACATACTGTACAAACCATCCGGAAGCATGTCGGGCGGCTCCGTTTTGGTACCGACGAATTACCAGTTAAGCGGAAATCCTCTATATCAGGTAGGTTGAAAATGCTTAGCCGACGGTACTTGCTCAGGCTTAGTTTAGCAGTAACCGAGTACCAGTTTAAAAAAATAGAGTAACAGTGTGTGTATGTTAGGTGGTGGGTGGTCCAGAGATGGGTGGCCACATAGGCCACGGCCTTGCCGCCACGTATCTGCCTAATTTATCTACCACGCCCAATTCATTCACCGTTCAGGTATGCACCTAAAAGTGCTTGCTTTTTTGCAATATAACATCATGAAATACATCATTACTCAAACGCACTCATTTTTTGTTGTCAAAGCTGAACGATGATTTTAAGTTTTTCAACTTTTGTTTGCTTGTGTATGTGAAGCTTTAAATGTGTCTGCGTTCTAATATAGCATCATACTTGTTAATTTTACAGCTCTTATTTTTGTATTGGTTTCTTTTCTCTTCTACTCTTCTATTTTGGGATATAGTGCTCAACATTTCTAAGGGTAAACATTACATTTATTAAAAACGTGCCCAGTCTGTCGACGACTGTGAATGTTCCGATTTGTTACTAGAAGACTTCTACATTTTGTTGCTCCACTGACGATTCTGTGATGGAACCTTCACTTTCAATTCATTGTGCATTCTTCCTACCAAAAATTGCAATATTATTATTTTATTGTACATGTAGCTTTTGCTGAAACCCCGCCCACTTAAAGATAAAGACAAGGTAATAAATCACATTTCACATCCTCATACTTGCAGATAATGCTTGAATCGTTTAGATGATGATACAAGCATGAAATTTGGTATGAATGCTTCTATAATGGTATTATTTTATATGAAAACGGTGGCTACTTAAGAAATTCAAGATGGCCGCAGTTTTCCAAGATGGCACAGATCATGCAAATGTTAGCTGTATAGTTGAATTGATTGCCTTTGTTTTTTTCGTTTTCAATCAGTTCCCCCAACTACTGATCAAGTGAACAGAAATCACTATTATCTGATTGCGGGAAAAATTTCAACAGTTAAACCACTTCAATTAACATAACCTCAGAAAACTGGAATTATACCCTCCCAGGCTGTTTGTTTATTTTTTATCGGACATTTAAGAACTGTTTATGAGTAGTGTACCTGTCGAATACTCTCTGAATTTTCCTATACAATTAAAGTTTATACTCTTTGATTCAACGTGTCGCGTATTTAATAATAATAATAATAATGCTTATTTACTGAAAAATCTCATTGTACAATGTTAGACATTAAATATTAACAAGAATTCTTTTAATATGAATTCTAAATGAATTGAATGAGCGATGATGAATTGAAGGAGCAAGATTTAAACAATATTACCGCTAAAAAACTATAATAAACCAATCCATTTCTTTTTAGGTTATGTTAAGTAATAACAAACACCAAACTGTCAAGTCTGAGTTTTCTTCAAGTGATTTAACTGAACTGATTTTGGTGAAACTGATCACCAGAAACGAAAACGCCTATTAACTATTTTATTAGTGATAATTAATAACGGCGGCCATTTTGAATATTTGAAATGGCTAGCGTATTCATATAAAAAAATACCCTTATCGAAGCATTCGTACCAAATTTCATGGTAGGATCATTATTTGAAAAATCCTTACTACTAATAGTTAATATGTGCAGCAATCTTGGAAAAACTTCAATTGACTAATTCTGACCAAACCTGATATGGTAGAAAGATACTGACTTAGAGTTTTCAATTCGTTTTTACTCATACTAAGACCCACAAAAATTTTATACCCATACCCTCCTCCAAGTCTGACAAAGTTACAGGGATGAGAGAGGGTTTGCATTACAGTGACTTAAGGACAGTGGCGACAATTTATCATAATCCGCCATATTGGAGCTAAAAGATTGATTGTAGGATCAATATACCGTGTCATGTCAAATTGTGACCATAGAGTAATAAATGTCAGTTTCATTTAAGTAAGTTGTTTAAAGCTTTGCAGAACAACCTATGGGAAACCCACTACCTCCCAGATTAAAAAAGATATATAGAAAACGGTATAATAAGTATAAAATATGGTGCAATATCCAAAATGTACATATAAAGGTAACCATTAATCATTAAATTGTGTTTGACATTTCAGTGTGTTCTGTCACTTCTTGTCCCTTGTCCCGTGTTTCTTAAATGGAAGACAAAACTCGTTGATTTAGTCCAGGGAGTACAAGAGATCAATATCCCTTGTGCTTCAGCAATCATTAATGTTAAACATTAAACCAATTATTCAAGCGTATTTATGATCACAATTGCGTTATCTATAACCACAATTAGATTTGCTGCTAAATTTTGGATAAGCTGCTTCTTTAACCAATTTTCTATCTTAACTGATTAAGGTATTTAGGGCATCTGAAAAAATTTTTACATCAATTACCAGTAGTAGAGTTAGGCACAGTTTTACATCTAAAAACATTTTAAGCGAATTACATACCTTACAATATCGTAAATACAACTATATGCTCTGGAGACGGAACAAGTAATATAAAGCAAATACAGGAAGCAAAAGTGTAAACTAGTTACGTGAGGCCGTGGCAATTACAGGTGACACTGCCAAAACAGTAACGCACGGAGTGTACTGCGTCGTTTTGGAGGCTTTCTATTGGCCAGTTTGGAATTTAGCCCCAATATGGCGACCGGAACCAACGACCAATCAAAAAAGAGATTCCCTGTTGTCACCACTGTCACTGTAGTTTGCATATGTTGTACATACTTCATAATCTCTTGTATATTCATAGAATATCATGGAGAGGAGGGTAAAGGAATATTTCAAATTTGTACTATCATTCTTAATTCGTTAATTCCACCGACAGTTAGTGTAGCGGGCGTGTTGGGTATAGTGCCGCTTTAAATATATCTTATATTAGCTCCAAACCACAGCGTTTATAATTTAATGACCACAGATGGCGTAATCGTTGCATTCATATTGTGGTTTGTAGACTGGCGTATGTATCATTTTACTATTGCATCAGCACAAAAATCGTATTTTTGCATCAACGTGAAAGATGTACCATGTACACTGTGTCTTGTTTCGGTTAAGACTGCAGTGTATCTCAGCTGTTATTAAAGATAGAGACTTGCGGTTTTCGCGACCCTATGCGACTTTTTGTGAAACTTGTAATACCACAAACAGAATCAATTTAGCTACGTTTGTTTCTGCAATACAGGGTGAAAACGAAAAGTTTAACTCCATGCAAGATATAAAAAAGGTAAAACTTGCATATTTTAGATGTTTTTACGTAGAAATCAGTGACGTAGTAAAACTTTACCACAGTTTCTGAGATTGCTCCAATGTTGGTATTTTTTAAATGCAACACTCTGTATATCTTAACCTCAATTGTTTTTATTTTGAAGTTTAGCCATGAAAGCCTATTTTTTATTGTTTTTTAATAGTAGGCCATGGATTCATGTTTTTTTTAAAATTTATTGTATCTATTGTAATTAAAGCAACTAATACCAATGAATAAAAATGGCATCTTACATGAGTAGTAAGGTATAATAGCGTCTCAAAAAGTAAAACTTTTCGATTTCACCCTGTATCTCAGGAACAAACGTAACTAGATTGATTCTGTTTGTTCACAAAAAAAAAGTGGCCCATGGTCGCGAAAACCGCAAGTCTCCATATTTAAAAACAGCTGAAATACACTGCATTCTCAATCAAAATAATAATAATAATTATTATTATATAAATACCACAAAAAAACATGTTCTTATTGATTTTATAACCTAATAAACCTTCGCTAAAAGACAATACAAAGTAGAAAACTAGAAATCACACAAAAGAATAAAAAAAATCATTAGTAATCAATATTACGTTTGACTTTAACTTTAAAAGTGTGATAATTAGAGTTAAATAGATCACACCACTGCAATTTCCAAAAATAGTTTGCATCGGACAAAATTCTTGTTAGTGGATTATTCCTAGACATGTTGCTCGAAAATTGTTTAATTCTGAAGCCTAGTATATTTCTAGTGACGCGCGTAGTCCTAGGAACATGAAAATCCACCAAACTAAGAATTTCAGGACAATCAATAGCACCATTTAGAAGAATTTTTTAGGATTTTGGAGTGTCAAAACTAGCCCCCTGGCGGAGGATTCAAGTAAATTGATTCTCATTGCCCAAGGAATGCTCTTTTCAACGATACCAAATTTGTTAAAATCGGTCAAACGGTTAAGAAGTTAAAGCAGGTTATTGGCAGAAACAATTGAACGCCCCACACCATCTTTGTTATTGAAATAAGTGAGTTTTTGTTTTTACGAAAATGATAGATAAACTGGTTCTATTTAAAAATGTGAAAAAAAATTTTTTAGTTTATGGGAAATTTAAAGAAAATGCAATTTTAAAATTTAAGATGGCAGTTACGCCCTTTGTTGGTAATTTTTAGAACTTGAAAATATTTTCCAGCGATTCTTCATGACCAATTTACCCAATAATTTTTCTTACCCCTAAGTCATATGACGAACAGTTCTCGAGATATGGCCGAGAAACAGTCTTGACCCATCACCCGGTACTGTCAGATTGAGTAAATTAAAGTCAAAATTCTATAATTGCTTGAATATTACATATTTGACCAGTGTAGCTTTTGTATACTACTAGGACACTAGGACTAGATAGACACCCCCTCTATAAATTCTGAAGGCTCAATTTTGTTCGCAGATAAGTTGACTGTCCGGGGAGTGAATGTTTTGAATGCAGCAGTATGAA